TTTTTTTTTTTTCATTAAGAATATGACCCCTGCTAAAATGAAATCCAAACCCAGATGCTGGAACTTATAAAACAATAAAACAAAACTAGAATGTGAATGAAGTTATTTGGAATTAAGTGAAATGACAGGAAAAATATTTCCAAAGAATGTAAAACTGGGTTTAAGTTGAATACCTGAATATTTTTCTTAAAAATCATTTGTGTTTGGGGTTATTTGTTTAGTTGAAAAATATCAGATCAAATTTTTTTAATGCTTTGCTCTGACATATGCTGATAAGGATTCTAGGTCATCCAGGTCATAGTCATTCCAAAAAACAAAACAAAAACAAAAGTACAGTGGTTTCTTTTTTTAAAACTTTGTTGGATTTTGCTTTGACAGGACTTGTCTACAATGTAATTTACTCTGGAAGAGAATATGGGTGTTTGTTTTATGATAAGAATTATGTTTCAACCTCAATATCATGGCCTACAATGTTTGCAGGAACATTTTGGGGGAACCAATGCTACCAGTTGTCATGTATTGGAGCAGGACCACAACACAAACAATCTGATTAGAAAAGTTTAAATAATACAACTTACAACAAGGCACAAGGACAGGAGATATGGAACTATTAATGATTTAAGAAACCAGCTATGAAAAAAAGAATCCAAGGAGTTTGAATATAGAGATTTCAGCAGGCTTGAGTAGAGTACCCAAAAAATGTACTCAAGTAAAGTAGGACTCCTTTAAAAATATTTTAATTCAACTAGAAGTTTAGTAACCTTCCAAGAAATGTGTTACAGTAAAAAAAAGTATTTGATTAAAAAGGCAACTGAGATACTGAGTTACTCTTGGTATTATTTCATTTAAAAAATATATATATTTTAAAAAGACATTGGATTAAGTTCTGGGCACATTGTGGTATTTCTAAATGCAGAAAAACTATGTTTGATTTTGTCATATTAACCTTATGAAACAAACACTTTCTTTAGGTGAAGTTTACAGCTAAAAAGAAAAAAAAAAGGCAAAACCTAAACAACACTCAGCCACACATCTGTTAAATAAAACTGTCAAACTAGAATGCAACACTCACTCTTCATAATATTTACCTGTCAACACATAAAACAACAGGTGAAACTGAGGGACAATTAGCAAAACAAGCTTTATAAATTAGTGGTTTGGCAGGTTTCTTTTCTTTTCTTTTTTCTTTTTTTTTTTTTACCACAGATCATTTCTCTGTTATCAACCTTCTGGTTAACATTTTGGCCACATTTTGTCTCTGTTGTAACACTAAAAGGTAGAATTAGAAATAGTCTACAACCTATAGAGGTTGCTGAAGTGGTACAGCTAGGGCAAGGTTTGTGTTGTCAATGAATATAGTGAGAAGATATTCTGGAGATACCAGGACACAGGCCAGTACATGAGGACAACAACTAGGCAGGAAGATATGTGCCTCCCTCTCTAAGCAAGAAGGAACAGGGGGGCTCTGCCAAGGTTCTGTCAAAGGACCTCCAGGACACTAGTGTGACTTCTTCTGTTAAACTGTTGAAAACAGACTCCATGTTGGTGGTATTACAGTCCAGTGTCCATTAATGGGGCCTGTGCTGACACCCTAACTATGTAGGGTGATTGGCATTTGTGAAAGAACGCAAAATTGGCAGATTTGCCATCACTGCTGTGTGCTATTCATAGAAGAGATCAGGTTGACACTGAAATACAACAGTCTGGAGAAGCGGCGAAGAATGTTATACTGCCTACAACATCCTTTAGCATGACCAGTTTGCTAACAGATTAGTAATGGTATGGGGAGGCCTTTATGTGCGAGCCAGAGTCTACCACCAAGTACCAGGATGAGAACTTTAGACCCATGTTGAGACCAACTGCTGGTGCATTGCATCCTGGGTTTTTTCTGATGCATGGTACTACTAGGCCTCATGTGGTTGAAGTGTGTCAGCAGTTTCTGCACGACGAGGCCATGGATACTATAGGCTGGCCTTCTTGTTCCCAAGATCTGAGTCCAATTCGAGAATATCTGGAACGTCATGTCCTGTTCGATCCACAAACACCAAGTTTCACCACAGACAGTCCAGCGGCTGATTGATGCTTTAATTCAGGTCAGGGAAGAGATCCTTTAGGATAACAGCTGCTGCCTCATCAGGAGGGCGCCCGGGTGTTGAAGAGAGGTCATACAGGCATGTGGAGGTCACATATTCTACTGAGGTTTTTTTTTTTTTTTTTTTGACTTGAATAGAGTAATTTCCACAGAAGTTGTATCACCTTGTTATATGATTTTTCTTTTTTTAGTTTTTTTTAATTACAATTACAATACAGACCTCCATTTGATCATTTTGATTCACATTTATTACTTTGTAATAAATATATTCACCTATTTCATGGTTTCTTTCATTTGGATCTAGAATGAGTTATTTCAATGCACCTTTAATTTTACCCGCTGTTGTATATTCACCTGCCCTTCATTTCCTTTGCAGATTCCTCAGAACATTAAAACAAAGCTTGTGAAGAAACAAAACTAATTTAAATATAGATGTTAACTGTCTGTATTTTTCTGGGACATTTTGTTTAAAATAAATTCAGTACATTTATTTGAAACTAAAACATTCTGCGACCACAGACCTCCGCCAAGGGGCAAAGCTTGCCCTATATTGTGACTTACACCTATAGCTAAAACTCTCACATGATCTAGATCATTACGAAATTCAAATGAAATGTTCCTCCTTATGAGGTGCACCTTTGTTAAAAATCCTTTCATGATGAAAGAGAGGGGCAGCGTGTATCTGCTGCCTCTGGTGTTAGTTCTGCTCTCTCCTTCCTCTTTCACTCTGCACTCTGCTTTCTTATTTGATCAGCAGATCGAGACTTCGTGCATGTCTCATCTTTCTGGTGTTTTTTTCTTCAGTATAATACTTCTGGACTTATTTGAGTCCGATGCTGAAGCTGTCAATAGTCACTGCTGCCATTGTCTGGTTTAGGGAGGAACTGCCTGCTCTGCCACATAATGTTAAAGAATCTTTTTAAAGATCCCTGCATCTGGATCGTGATGTGGATTGTCTCGAAAACTTAGTTGATTGTTCCTTGGACTGAGGTGCACCTTTGGTATAAACTTCATTAAAATCCATTCATAACTGAATGGATTCATTACGTCTGTGTCTAACTTTGTGTTAGACACAGACGGATGGACAGAAAGAAAAACAAACACACATACAACTCAACTAAAAAGATAACCTCCCTGGTGGAAATAGCGATTCAAGAAGTCAGATTTAGCAGTAGCAATATTTTCTAAAAGACTTACTCAAATAGAATTAAAGTTAAGTATAAATACCTTATTCACTCGCCACCTCTAAAGCCCAGCATACACTGGGTCATTTTTGATTTTCTATTTGTGCAACAAGTTTAGGGATCGGGCTGACTCCTGGACAAATTGTGCGTTGTGCATTACACGGGGTCACGAGAGGCGATTGGCACCTCATGAGGAGCTCCTGATCAAAATTGTGGGTGGCAAGAAAATAAAACCTGTTTGATTATTTGGTCATGAGTAAAATGCATGTTGAAGTGGTGACACGACCAGACTGATTTTTCCACATTACGCATGCGCAAATCTTCTTATTATCCTTCTTTCATACTAGCTACTTCTATTTATTGCGTTGCATGTCAGGATTGTTTAAAACCCCAACCTGTCTTTGAGGATTTACAGTGTAGGTTGTTAAAATCGTATCCTGGCCTTGATGTGAAGACATATATCACAAGCACTGAAGTTTGGACTGATTGATTCGCACAATTTGAGTTGGGGCTGAGAAACAATTGAAAATATTGCACAGTGTACCGCAGGCCTATGCGAGTCTAATCAAGAGCTGTGGGGAAGTTCCGAGCAGAGGCAGGTGAAGGAAGGATGATAATTATTGCAGAGCTACAACAAGGCAGGAGAGCCCTCTTTTACACAAACTACTTTAATCATGCCTCCTCTGTTCCATCGCAAATAGAAACTCTTTAGTTAGTGTGGTGATTCTGACAGGCTTTGTTGGTCTGTGGCGTGACAGATGGCCCTACTACACTGTGTCGGATATCAGGATCAAGTTTATTGCCAAGTAAGTTTGCACTTAGAAGGAATTTGACTAATTTGGAAAAAATCTATTTGTGATGGATGACAGAGCAAGACCTGTTCATTTCTTTTTTTTTTTTTACAGTGTCCTGTCTGGCAAGGTGGCAATAAGAATAATTGTCTTGATGCCAAAAGGAGCCCAACAGATTTTACTTTCACAAGTGTAGCGGTATCGCAATTGCCATACTGCTCCACTTGTTTCATGTATATAAATTGCTTTATTATAATTATGCAGGGAGTTTTACAGTTCATATGGACACTGCAATGTAAGTAGAGCAGAAAAACAGAAGAAGAAGAAGAAGAAGGAAAAAGAAAAAGAAAAAAAACAGGACAAAAGATGAAAGAAAGAGGAGATAGGAAGGAGACATTGACAAAACATTTTCAGTCTGCTTCAACACCTGTAATGAGATGGAAAAAAAAAAAAAAAAAAGAAAAAAGAA